TAAAAACAACCATATATATTATATGTACATGTTTACTAGAGCATATATTTACATTAGAATGTACATAGAACGTGTGATCTAAACAAAGTCGTATCGGAACTGCATCAGAACTAGTTCTTTTGAGGGATTAAAAATATTAATGCTATAATAGGAATATGACAGATTTGGGTACCGCTATTGAAGGTAAAGTACCAAGTTCATATTATACAAAGTAATAGAGATTTATATCATCGCTTTTGACAAATTCATTGAAAACAAGACAAAACGTTAGCCACGACTGCACCAAAGCTATAATGCCATATTCTTTTTGACTAAAAGTATGTATTATATAAAAAGTTGTGTAGCGGCAACCAACTTTTTATTCTTAGCCTATTATTATTCTTCTTATAACTGTCTCAATATCTTTCTATTTTCCTTCTTCAACATTAACTTGACATGCTTCGCGCAATTCTTTAGTTTCAATGTGATAGTTTGCGCATCTTTTTTTCCGGGGGGTCTCCGAAAATCGTGTCGCAATGGCCGATTTTTTTTTTTTTTTTCAAAAATTGCAGCTTTTTTTGTAGTGAATGTTTGTGACAATAAAACAATTCCTGCTCTTTACCAGAGGAAATTAAAGCTGAAATTTTGTAGTAAAAAGACGCTATTAACGCGATGCTATTTCAAACGACTGTACGTTTAACTTAACTCAATGACAGACTTAGCAGCAACATGGATTTTGCTTGAGTTTTTTGTTGCTCTTCAGTACATACCAGGTTTTGTAGCCATTTATCTAGCACTTAGTAGACGCGAAGTGGCGCCCCTGGGTCTATAAAAAGTTTATGTTTCTGGAAAGCCGACGTCATTCATAAAATTATAACCGCAACCTCTCTTCCTTGTTGCCTTAATATCTAAAACACAGCTATGTATAACAAATTGCCATTTGGTTATCATTAGAAAAAGCAGCTTATCAAAGCACATCATTACTTTCTTAAAACTAAAAGCAATTTGCAACACTTCAAAGGAAATATTGCCATTTTGAGAGTAACAGATGTTAGCTCTCAAAAAAATGAATAAATTTTTAACCAACCAAGCCATATCTTCAAGGAACTCATGAAGCGCAGCAATACACGACCTTTGCGAAAATTCTAAATTTTTTTGTTTTTGCTTCAGTTAAGTAAATATGTGCATGTGTGCGTGCTGGCGTAGGTGTTCATATGCGTTCGCCTCAGTTTAAGTATTTATACTGTATATGTTGCAAATATATACCTTAGTTATAGTACATAGCGGTAGCAACAAAAACCAATAGAAATAGTTTCACATCGATAGGAAAATGTCAACATATCCTGCTCATTGCCACACAAACGAAATGAAATTTTACAAGTGCCCATGGGGCATAATACTAAAGTATGGCTAGATAGCAGAAAGCTGCGATGTAATAATCGAAGTAACAGCAAACCTACACCAACAAATGATATGTATGTTACGAGTATGCAAATATGAGTTTTATACATACATATGTATGTATATATGCTAGTGTTGTAAAATGTTTGAAATTAAGGTAAAAAGAGGATATGTACGCCATAACGAAAGCTAACAGAAGCTAACGGAAGCATTTTGTGAAAATATCTGAAGCAAATATTGAAGTGTTTACAGGCAGATACATGGCAGCAGATAAGCAAGTACGAAAAGATACATATTTGCGCAGCGGCAGACAGGTGCTTCTAGGCAAATACACACATACAAACATATAAATATATGTATGCACATATGGACACATGCACAAAAAGCTATAAGACAAATATGTGTATTATAAAGTATGTCTGTATGTAAATACACTTTCTTCATTGCTTTGGCTGCTGTGTGTGTACGAAAATGGCCAACCGAAAATTGTTTAATGCAAGAAATCTCTGTGCTTCACTTCTTCGCTTCATATGCAGTCGAAGTTAAGCACCAAAATCACTTAACTCGTTGCAGATAAGAGTGTCTATATTCGTATGTGCATTTGCGGAGTTTATATGCAGTGCAAGTTTGCAAATTTGCATTTATGTTCTACAATGGAGCAAAAGGTGCAGTCGGGGGTGGCGGCATAATTGCTTATCTAATCAGTGTTGATTGTAATGTGCATACGTAATATGTTTTCCAGGCAATAATGTTAGACCGCACTCAGCCATGGGTATTTACTGCTCTACATACCACAGTTCTTTGTCGTAATATTTGGCATAGTTGTGGTTTTGAATGCTTCAACTTGTGCGTAATTGAAATTCATGGCACAAAACAATTTTCTACTTTCGCAACATGTTGCACATGAGTATAGGTTAGCAAGATAGTTGTGAATATATACTTATGTATCGTAATAACTGCTGGTAGATATAGGGCTATATATATATTAAAGTTTATTTAAACTAAACCCATTATTTCTCTAATAGATGACTTTAGTAATCTGTTTCTAGCGTTGTGTAAGTTCGATCGGGTTACGCTAAACGGCGTTAAGATAAGTTTCGGTACTAAGAAAGCTGCTTAGACAGTATTGTGATTACTTTACTCAGTATTGTTTCTACAACAGTCATAGATGAATGTCAGCAAAATTTCGTCATATTTTACAATTATTTCTCAATAAAGATTGTAAATGTGAATAATATTGTGACAAAAAAGCACCCGAAAATTAAAAGTCAGACTGTTCTTACTTACAATGTCAAATATTAGCGCGACCTGCCAATCAGTTTGTTTACAGCAGCTGCTTATGTCGGTACACCTCAGTAGAGTGTTGCGATTTTTACAGTGAATAAAGATATCGAATGAAGAATCGGTCTTAAATTTTGTACTTCTAATCAAATTTACGGAATCGTTGCGAATGTTGGAAAAGGCTTACGGTGATTCAATTTTATCAAAAATGCAATCCTACAAGTGGTGCAAAGCCTTCAAAGACCGTCGAGAGATCGTTAAAGACATGCTTCGCTCTGGACGTACTTCGGCTACCTCAACTGATGAAAACATTAAAAAAGTGAAGGTTATGGTGTTTGAAAATCGTTAGGCAACTGTTAGAGAGACTTGGGTCAATTTCATACATGCAAAAACGTCAACATTCAACGGAATGGAGGAAAAAAAAAAAAGCCGAAATCAAAAGCCATGTCAAAGCCGCTCAAAAATCAAGGTGATGCTCATTACTTTTCTCGATATTCCTGATTTGATGCATCATGAATTCGTTCCGAAGGGACAGACGGTCAATAAGTAGTATTTTCTATTTGCGTATTTTATGTTTATACGAGAACATCTGTCAAACCTGTCTGCGACCCGAATTGTCGAAAAACAATTAATTGATTTTACATTATGCTAATGCAAAATTCGAGTCACCATTGGGACCTATCGATCAACCACCGTATTCACCAGATTAGGCTCAGTGTGATTTTTTTTTTGTTTGCTAAACTGCAATTGCCGCTCTTTGGAACCTCTTTTCAGTCGATCGAAGAGATAAAATAGAATTCGCTGAAGGAGCTAAAAGCACTTCCAAAAAGTGCTTTTGAAAAGTGTTTTGAGGAGTGAAAAAATCGTTGGCATAATCTGGTGGGGATAATTTTGAAGACGATAAACTAAATATTCATGAATAATTAAAAATTTTGCGATGTATTTAAAATTTCCGAAAATTTTTTTGTCACAATGTAGTTAGGCTTGTTTAAAAAAGGTTTAATTTTTTGGAATAGTTATTGTTCTGTGCCTTACCGAAGATAGAAGATCGAAAACAGCATTTTCGGCATATTTGAATTTTTTACTATGAAATGGGTAAAATATGCAATTCAAGCAAGGCAGAAATTATGTGATGTGTACGGAGATGACATGTTAATCGAACGCCAATGTCAAAATTAGTTTCAAAATTTTCGTTCCAGCAATTTCAATCACCTCGTCATGGAAGGCTTCCGAAGCCAACAAAACGAGAGATTGCTAAAATAATAAATTTGTCTGAAGCGACCAAGTTTGAACAAGCTCATAGTAGTTCGTAGACGGATAGTCACCAAAACAAAACTATGTTGTCTATTTGAAAAATATTTTAAAGGCATCGTTTATTTTGAGCTTTTGCGCTACAAAAACCATGATTAATTCTGAAGTGTATTGTGATTAGGTAAACAAATTGAGTGATGTACTCAAATAGAAAAGTCATCTATAGAAAAAGTGTAGGGTTTCACTATGATAATGCGAGGCCTCATACAAGTTTGATGATTCACTACAAACTTTTCCAGCTGGAATAGGATAGGCTACCTCACCCACAATCGTGTTCAAATTACACCAAAGGACTGAATGACCCAATATTTATAGTAGTGATCAAAACCAACGATCGTTTGGAAGAATTAAAATAAGAAGCGCATGATTACTACAAAGCTAGAATTGACGGTCAGGAAGGTTGTGCTATGTGTTTGGTGGGATAGGCACTGGATTTATATTACCGCCTTAGGGGAAAGCCAAACTATTAATTTAGGCCAATACTGTATCACCCAGAAGCAGATAGTTTTGGACAAATGGCAACTGTGTTCGATCCCGAAAAAGCCAGGCCTCAGACAAAAATATTGACTCGCCAGAAGCTCCGGGAACTAGGTTAGGATCAATATTAGAGTATGAAACTGGAACGAAGTGATTACTACCTGGTCCTGAGTTAGGCAAATGATTTACCCTCAACTGAAGCTTGTGAAAAATCGACTTGCCGATAGAGACGAGGATTTCAATGAAAGTGCCATTATTAAATTACATGCGAAATCGCGAAAAGTAATCGAATAAACGGTTCATAGTTGACCTAAATCGGAACATTCAATTTAAAGCGAAAAATGGATCTCCTTCTTATATACCTACAAGGTATCAAAAAATTCCGAAGTACAACTCCATTATCAAACTCTAGTCCTCAAATTTATGCTCGTGAATGATTATCAATTAGAAACCGCTTTGGACTAAGACAAACCCAATTTTTTTACCAATGTTTTCATCCTTACATAGTCTATATAATTCTAGATAGTAGCTGTAAGTGAAATAGCACTTACCGGTTCGGGCGGCACCTCATCCAACACCTTTGGTTCACATTTATCCTCTTCGGTATTGTTCGCTGTTGCGGTCGCGTTATTAGTTGCTACACTACTGATGTTAGCGGTGGTAGTACCAGCAGTGTGCGCGTTTGGCGTTACCGTCGTCGGTGCTAGCTTAGTGGTTGCACTGCGTTTGGTGACATGTTTGTGCGATGACTGCATATCCAACACTTCGTCGCTGGGCATCGGAGCCACATTGCCAACTGTTGGAGGTATGTCGGCGTAGTGCGACTTTGACTCAACGAGAAAGGATGTTGGTTGTTCTTCTACGCCCGCACGTTGATAATGACGATGCGTTGTTGGGTATTGGTGGCCATGCTGTTGTTGCTGCCGCTCGGCCGCATGTTGCACACGTCGATAGAACATAAGCAACTGCTGTTTATTTCTGTTCAACTTTCTAGTGGCAGCTTGCTGAGAAAGCTGTCGGTCCTCATCGTATAGCTCTTCCTGCTCGGACGTCAGCTCCTCCTCTCCAACCTCTTCGGGTTGTGGAGGTGGTGCAGCTGCTGCCACCGCTCCCGATTCATCATCATTATCCAGCAGATTAATGCGTTTTACCTGTACCTGCACCAAAGCATCTGCATCCGAATCCGCGTAGCCATCCGTTCCGACACCTTTGTCTGCTTCTGTGGGGAATTTGTAACGCGTTAGTCTCGGCTCAAATGTGGGTACGCTGGCAGTCAAAATGGCCGCTTGTGCAACGGATGCTTGGCTCAGTAGAGCGGCAGCGGTGACAGTTGCGGCGGTGCTCAGCATTCCATGTGGCAGTAGCTTTGGCGTTGGGCTGAACACGCCGTTAGTTGCTGCAGCTCTGCTTGCCGCTGCTGTTGTTATTGCTGTTGATGAGAATTGTGCCGCACTGAGTAAGGCCAACAACCAAAGTATTGGAAATCGTTTCCTACAACAACCCGCAACAACTGCAGAGAGTGCTTTCGCTTTCGTCACTGCCGCGACCGCTAATGTCGCTGTCGAGTACGCCAGGCTTCGGCAAATGACAGCTGCAGTGAAGCGCACAAATTCGTTGACTACATTAGGATTTGGTGAAGTGCTTGAACTCTGTTGCGTTGGTGTTGGTGGCGTTGTGGCTACGTGCGCCAGCAATGGCGGCATTGGCCATCGATGATGCTTTATGGGTAATAATTTAGGATTTTGCTGTAACGCGCTTCGCCGTTGCTGTCGTTTAACGTTTTCGTTTGCTTTTTGCACCGTTTTCAGCTGCTGCGGTGTAATTACTGTATGTTTTTCATTTGTGTGTTGTATTTGCTGTAATCGTAGGTGGTTTGTTCTTTCGTTTTGGTTTTGGTGGCATTTCCGTTGGGTTTGTTGCAGCACTTCAAATAGTTCTAGTGGCGGATTTTGCCGTTCTTTTTGTATTTTTTGTTGCTGTTGTGGTTGTTTATTGCCTTGCCACAGACATTTCCCCCGCACTTCCATATCCGTAACAATATTTCAGCGTTTAAATAGTTTCAATTGTGTTGCAAGTTACTGAGTTTTCACAGTTACCGTTGCTCTGGCGTCGTTACTGGCGTTGTGTCTGCAATAAAAAGAGAAGAAAGTATGTTATTTTATGGATTTAAAATTGTTTAATAGTATACGAGGTTATGTAGTATTTTAGGTTATGAAAAAAAGTTATAGAAAAAATTGGCCAGAACCGTCACATAAGCAGCCATGACATCGCTAAGGAACTTAACATTCATGATCAAACGGTTTTGTATCATTTAAAAAAGACTGGCTACAAAAAGAAGCTCGATGTTTGGGTACCACATGAATTTTCTGGGAAAAATTTAATGGACCGAATTAACATCTGCGATTTTTGCTAAACGATAATAATGTGCAAAAAGATCATGGTCCAAGCGTGGTGGAGCTCAAAAAATGGTCGCAAAGCCAGGATTGACACCTTGAAAGGTTATACTGAGTGTTTGGTGGAATTGGAAAGGAATCATACACTATGATGAGATTGAAGCAAGTAATCGAGAAAGCGGCTAGAACTGATAAACAGAAAGGGCTAGACCACACACATCTTTGATGACTCGACAAAAACTATGAGAGGTTGGCTGGATAGTTTTGATGCATCCACCATATAACTTTGACCGTGCACCATCGGACTACCGTTTGTTTCGGTCAATACAGAACTCCCTTAATGGAGTAACGTTGGCTTCAAGGGAAGCCTGTGAAAATTGCTAGTCGCAGTTTTTCGCCGAGAAACCCGAAAAGTTATACATTGCTGGAATAATGTCTCTAGCGGATAAATAGCAATGACAATACTAATTTAATATACACTATTCAGGTTATAAATATATTGTTTGCCGTAGTTCAACTGTGAAGGCAAATAAGAGTTGCGTATGCATATAAAATTAAATTTTCTGTATTAAAAATTAGATTTGATCACATTACTTCACACCTTTAGGCACATATGTACATATACCATAAGCACTCTCAGCACGTTAAGCGTCATGCTAATTACCAACCGGAATTTGTAATATGCCCTCAAGCGCCGTGAATGAAAAATAAATTTACGCCTGAAAAAGTTATGTTGGCACTTTGTTGAAACTTTAAATTAAATTCGAATGCTAATTTTGAAAATAAAATTGCCACGTTGTCATGAGTAGGTTGGTGGAGCAGCGGTTGATACATTAGTAGAAGGGGCATATTAAGAGTTTAGCTGTTGTTTTTGTTGTTGATAGCACATTTTATTTTGTACTTGTAGAGAAATGTATGTGTTCGTGCGTAATGAAACTTGTTGCCTCTTTTTGATGTTGTTGTTCAAAGATAAAAAATAGTTTTAGGAGCCCTTCTGCTGTCCTTGCCAGGACGCTAGTCAACGACCGTTGTGTGTGTTATCTTAAGCGAATTCAGTAAAAACTTGGAGAAATTACAGCAAGTGGAACAAATACTTGGAAGTGTTAAGTTTGATAAAACTCAGACAATTTTGAGATATTTTTTAAGAGTTTACTTTAAAAATGTAACCTCGCGTTACAGCGGTAAATTGTGCTGTTACAGGGGTGAATTAGAATTTATCTACGATTTTAGTGATATATAACTATAATATAATATAACTATATTTATATATATATATGTATATATATATATTTATTTAATAGGAATTTACAACAAATATCGCCTTAAATAGCGCATATGATTTCACGGCTAAGAATAACTCCATTTCTCTAAAATTAAAATTTGTATTTAAAGACAAAACGTTCACTTTCTCATTTATCAACATTGTGTTACAACTATATAAATACTCTCTTTTTTTGCCTTTAAACTTTTCATACTATTTCCCCTACAAACTATAGGTGTATCAAAAACAAATAGTTTTATATTCGCCACTTCACCCGAATGCAAAACTTTATCTAAATTTTCAAAATTACATATACATCCGAAAGAGTTGCATACTTGTCATATTGGCAGTCATCAATTGAACTCGGTGGCTGCCGCTTACATTGAATTTTATCACATCAATGACAGTCATGCACATAAATGTGTATAAGAGTCTCTCTACCAACGCCCTGCGGTTATTTTCAAAACAGCGCCAGTAGATTTATTTTTCCACTTTTTGTTGTTGTTTTTTCCGAACTACGTCTGGTTATGTCAACATTTGGTTTTATATGTTCTCCTCGCCAATTTCGCCATTTGTTGTTATCGTTGTTGTGGCTGTAGCCAAGAGTGCGTCAATTCTATTTATGGTGCTGTCAGATTGTCTGTCTATACGTGTGTATGTACGTGTGTGCACGTACAGACAACTAAGTTTCTTCTCCTATATTTGTGTGTCTTTTTTCTTCGCTGTCTAACTACATGTCTGCCCCCGTGCCCGGCCCACATCGTTAACCCGCACTTGAGGGGCAGTCAGTATGTCGCTAAATCTGAATCTGTTTTCGCATTGCTGTTTTGGTTACGGCTTTGATTTGCTTGTTCCACACTGTTGCATGCAATGTGCAGTAATGTGATTGCTATATCAACTTTGAAATCTTATTTTACTACGAATTTTTTGTGGTTATTTCTATTGGACTACCGTGAATTTGAGGTTTATGGTGGGACGTATATTAATGGGGTTACCATTTATTGGTCATTTAGTTGCATAAGTAGTTACAGAGTTGCATTTAAGGTGAAACTTTAAAATGACAAATTAAACTGCACATTAATGAAGGTGAATGAAAAAGGCAAAGAAGCGTTAAGCTCGGTTGGTACCAATGATTTCTTTTATAGAGTGAGTAATATAGCTTTTGAGGTTTCGGTAACGAAGAGTTAATCAATATAATATGCATAACTCTTGCAGTTTCATTGATCAAAGGTTTAAGATGTGTAGGTTTAAGATTTACCTTCTACATATGTGACTAGTTCCGGGACTGCCGATATTGCAGCTAGACTGGAACTGAACTCGCTTACTTCATAAGTAACATTGCCTAGTGCTTGAAGATGAACTAGACGTTTGGGAAAGATAGCAAAAAAGTTCAGAAGCATTGTCCACCTTTTCGGAATGGGTATTGTTAAGTCAAAAGCGAAGGAATCGCGTGTTCAAAACTTTTTTCTTCCACAATTAATATTTATGTTACCACATATACACTCGTGGCCACGCAAAGCTTACCACTCAAAATTTTCTAGTATTCTGCATATTTGACTACACTTTATAGCGGTACTTTTTGCAGTATAGACATTTTTCATTTAGAAATACGTTAATGACGTGTTATTTATCAAAAATATAATATAAAAAATTAAAAACAAAACACATTTAGCATATGTAAGTAAATTCATACTGGATTAATAACCCTCATAAAATTTCACTTTATGTCAATAAGTTTGCTTGGAGTTGTGATTCGACGATGTTGCACTTTTTGGATGTTGGCTTGGAGAATACTAGTCGTTCTTAAGATCGAGTTATACATTTTTCGTAATTTTTGGACTCAAAAAATATATATATGAACGTGGCGAATTTTTTTCAATTTTAGTTAGAATAATTCGTCATCAATAAGATCAATCAAACCAATATGGACTCCTCAACATCAAGTAAGCCAAACTTTTACTGCCGGTTAAATGGCTTTTGAATAAAGTTTCTTGCAGATTTATAAGTTATTTTTCCTTTAAAATGGGAATCGTTTGGAGCATTACCACAAACTCTGCGTTTCTTGCTGCCGGTAGGTATCAATAATGCATTTTAATCATAATTTTAACTTTGATCTCTGGTTGTTAAGGTTTTAATTATAATGATCACCGTTTTTATGCGTAATGGATGAAACATAAGCAACTGAAGAGGAGCAAAACGTTTAAAAATTTTAGTTTTGCTCAAAACATTCCTAACAATAGTAGATTGTACCGACTCCTAATGTTCGAAAAAGCTCCCACAGTCCCTTAATGTTATATTTGCTGTTTCCAAATTTCAACTTGTCTTCTAGCTTCGGGATTTTTCTTCAAATGCTCAACCAATTTCGCAATAATGTTCAATGACAACTACTAGTAGTAGCAATTTTTTGATACTCTAGTCAACCTCTCTGACGCAGAGTTGAAATCCGTGATATCACAAAAAACAAAAGCACTTTAACCGTATAGTTTGACGGTTTGAGATCAACTCGACATCGATATCGAATTTAAAAACTTAAACCAAAATACAGTTGGATTGAAAACCGTAATATTAACAAAGCAAAGTTAATTATTTGAGTATTTTCGAGCCTTTAACTAGGAAAAATCAGGCACAACTGTTTTATTGTTAAGAGGTTGAGTCACTTTATTTCCAATTGATATCCTTAATGAACAAATCTGATGGAAATAAATGATATTGATGAGCTATGCGGTGTGTGGGATATCTGAGGTGTACTGATTACTGCATTTGTGTTCAAAAATATTGTATGTAAAAAAAATTTGCCGAAATGCTGCGGATGACCGACCCTGCACATAACTTTCAGACAAACTGAAAGATCGGAATAAAATGCTTGTAAGAAATCTTTTCTATTTGGGTAAAGGGTATTATAGCTTCGATGCAAGCGAAGTTTACATTTTTTCTTGCTAACAAACAAAAAGCAGAGTTATAAACATACACATACTATTATGCATTTGGTAGTTTCGCATGAAAGCGACGCTGAAGTTGCTATTCATCAACAATTATTGCAGTTTGCAGCTCAACAAAATGGAAATAAGAACTTCTAATTACAGTTACAGTTGAGCTCAATGAACGTAAATGAGTATAAACTTTTTTTTTGCCAACTATTGCAGTGCCGCCTCGTGTCTTAACTACCAGCGTTGTCGCATTAAATTGGAAATGTGAAGTGCAAGTATTTAGCGAAGTCTGCAACACATCGCATATTCACTCTCTCTTTCAAAAAAAAAAAAAAAAAAAAAAAAAAAAAAAAAAAAAAAAAAAAAAAAAAAAAAAAAAAAAAAAAAAAAAAAAAAAATAAAATAAATAAATAAAAACAAGTAAGGAAGGTCTAAGTGCGGGTATAACCGAAAATGCATACTCTTGCAACTTGCAAAGATTAAAGGGTGAGTTTTCACACGATTTTATTCATTCTAAGCACAAATATGCATGATTATAAGAAAAAC